AAAGAAACTAGAATGGGGGAAAGGAGAAAATGAGGAAGGGAAAAGCAATATATATATATTGCTTTTTATACTTTACTGATAGTAGTTTGTCTATCTAGGAAGAGTAAATGTCTTTCCATTATCTGGTGTCTTCTTTGATTTGCTTTCTCAGAGTACTACAGTTGTCATTGTAAGTTAATGCCTAAAAAAAGGTACTTAATTTCTAAAGCAACTTTGAATGGTAATATTTTACTTATTGCAATTTATATTATATATATAAATTACAAATATAATATATATAAATATATATCTATATATTATGAAAATATATTGAGCAAATTATATATAATATATATATATGAAGATAGTCATACTACTAATTTTTCTCAGTTCATTGAAAAGAAAGGTTTGTGCTAATATTAAGTGGACAATTCAATCCCTATATCTTGTACTCTGAGAAACTAGTTCAAAGATATAATACACATTTATTTTTTTCCTATACACATTTATTAATCATTGGTTCTGTCTTGTTTTGAAATTTTGTTTCATGTTTTAATTTTTTTCTCTTTAAAATAAAATTGTATGAGAAGGTCCTACATAGCAAGGAAACTACCTATTGAATGGGGGGAAGGTTTCCAGCTGCTCTTCAGAAAGAGGACTAATATCTAGAATATCTGAAGAAGTCTTAAAAATTATACTCTCAAAAAATGAAAAAAAAGTTCAATTGAAATGAATAGACAATATTCAGAAGAAAAATACAAAGAGCCTATAAGTACATAAAAAGATTTTCAGTATCTTTGGCCATTAGAGAAAAGCAAATTAAAACAACACTGGGAGTCTACTTTACTCCAGGAAATTTGGCTGTCATCAAGAATTAAAGAGAGGAAATGCGAGTGGGTGATGGACGTTGAGAGAATGAGGAGGAAGTAGAGAAAATGGCATCCACGGATTATAGTACCTTCAGCCAAGCTGCAGCCCAGCAGGATTACAGTGCTTACACAACCCAGCCAACTCAAGGATATGCACAAATCACACAGGTGTATGGGCAACAAAGCAATGGAACCTATGGACAGCCTACTGATGTCAAGTATACCCAAGCTCAGACCACTGCCACCTATGGGCAGACTGCATATGCGACTTCTTATGGCCTACCTCCCACTGGTTATACTGCTCCAGCTGCCCCCCAGGTATATAGCCAACCTGTCCAGGTATGGCACTGGTGCTTATGATACCACCACTGTGACAGTCACCACCACCCAGGCTTCTTATGTAGCTCAGTCTGTATATGGCACTCAGCCTACTTACCCAACCTATGGGCAGCAGCCAGCAGCTACTGCACCCACAAGACCACAAGATGGTAACAAACCTACTGAGATTAATCAACCTCAATCTAGCACAGGGGCTTATAACCAACTCAGCCTAGGCTATGGACAGAGTAACTACAGTTATATCCAGTTAGCTTTCTGGAAGCTAACCAATGTAGCCAGTCACTGCACCTCCATCCTGTCCTCCTACCAGCTATTCTACACAGCTGACTAGTTATGATCAGAGCAGTTACTCCCAGCAGAACACTGATGGGCAGCTATGAGCAGCTATGGACAGCAGAGTAGCTATGGTCAGCAAAGCAGGTATGGGCAGCAGCCTCCCACTAGTTATCCCCCCAGACTGGATCCTACAGCCAGGCTCCAAGTCAATATAGCCAACTATGGGCAGCATAGTTCATTCCGACAGGACCACCCCAGTAGCATGAGTATTTATGGGCAGGAGTCTGGAGGATTTTCTGAACCAGGAGAAAACTGGAGTATGAGTGGCCCTGATAACCAGAGCAGGGGAAGAGGGGGATTTGATCATGAAGGCATGAGCAGAGGTGGGCAAGGAGGAGGATGCAATGGAGAGCAAGGTGGCTTCAATAAGTCTGGTGGACCCATGGATGAAGGACTAGATATTGATCTAGGCCCTCCCATAGATCCTGATGAAGACTCTGACAGCAGTGCAATTTACGTACAAGGACTAAATGACAATGTGACACTTTATGATCTGGCAGACATTTAAGCAGTGTGGGGTTGTTAAGATTAACAAGAGAACTGGGCAACCCATGATCCACATCTACCTGGACAAGGAAATATAGGAAAGCCCAAAGGTGATGCCATGGTGTCCTATGAAGATCCACCAACTGGCAAGGCTGCTATGGAGTAGTTTGATGGGAAAGATTTTCAAGGAAGCAAACTTAAATCTCCCTTGCTCAGAAGAAGCCTCCAATGAACAGCATGCGAGGTGGCATGCCACCTTGTGAGGGCAGAGGGATGCCACCACTGCTCCGTGGAGGTCCAGGTGGCCCAAGAAGTCCTGGGGAACCCATGGGTCAAATGGGAGGTTGTGGAAGTGACACAGGAGGTTTCCCTCTGAGAGGCCCCTGGGGTTCCCTTGGAAACACCTCTGGAAGAGGAAACGTCCAACATCGAGCTAGAGATTGGCAATGTCCCAGTAGGGGTTGTGGAAACAAGAACTTGGCCTGGAGAACAGAATGCAATCAGTGTAAGGCCCCAAAACCCGAAGGCTTCTTCCTGCACCCTTCCCACCCCCAGATGGTGATCGTGGCAGAGGTGGCCTTGGTGGCATGCAGGGAAAAAGAGGTGGCCTCATGAACCATGGTGGTCCTGGTAGAACGTTCAGAGGTGACCGTGGTGGAGATAGAGGTGGTTTTTGTGATGGCCATGGCATGGACCGAGGTGGCTTTGGTGGAGGAAGATGAGGTGGTTCAGGAGGTCTTCCTGGACTTTGATGGAACATATGTGAGGAAGAAGAAGTGGACGTGGAGGACCTGGAAAAATGGACCAAGGGGAGCACCATCAGGAGTGCAGAGACCAGCCCTACTAGATGCAGAGACCCTGCAGAGCTGCATTGACTACCAGATTTGTTTTTCAAACCAGAAAATGTTTTAAATTTATAATTCTATATTTATAATGTTGGCCACAACATTGTGATTATTCTTTGTACTTTAGTGTTTTTCACCATTTGTGAAGAAACATTAAAACAAGTTAAATGGTAGAGTGCTGTGTGCTTTTTCCTTTTTTCAAAGATGGTTAAGATTTAACAATGGGAACCCTTGTGAGCATGCTCAGTTATTGTTGTGGAGAACCAAGAGGGCCTCTAACTGTAACAATGTTCATGGTTGTGATGTGCTTTCTTTTTTAAATATAATTTCAAATGTTTATTAAAAAAGAATTTAAAAAAAAACCAGATGCTGGGGAAAGTAGAGGGAAAAGGAATCCCACTCCCGTTGCTGGGAATGTAAACTAGTAAGTCACTATGGAAATCAGTGTGGAGATTCCTCAAAGAACTGAAATTATAAACTCCGTTTGACAAGGCTATTCCCTTTCAAAGTATCATCCTGAAAGAATTAAAGACTGTTATCTCAGTGACACACGTATACTCATATTTACAGCAACACAACCCCCCTTCTCCCATGCTTATAGCAACACAACATCCCCTTCTCCTTTCTACTTTGCATCTGTTCCCATCTCCAGATTGCCTTTCTAGCTTCATAAATTTTTTATCTCTTTGTTATGGCTTGTGTCTAGCTGTCACCGCAAAGCCTCTTGTACTCATGGGGTAGCTTCTGGAGTTCAGATTGATTATTGTGGGTGTGGATGCTGCACCTGCCCGGGGGCAGTTACTTTGCATTACAATGTAAATAGGTCAAAGAAGCTAGCTAGCTGTCTGAGCTGTTGCCACTCCCTTTGCTCTCTGCTTTTCCTTAAGAGCCACAAAAGGTTCTCTGCCTTGGAGCAAGCTGAGTGTAGACTGAAATTTCCATTAACTGTGAGCTAAATAAACCTTTACCTTTCTTTATTTTGAGTGTCTGGTATTTGTCCCAGCCAGGAGAGAAGAGTAACTGAGACACCCTTCTTTCTGTCATCTTTCATTTTGCTCTTTAAATTATTTATACTTTGAGACTCTCAAGCTTTCTTCTTAAGTGTAACTATTGCTATAACAATGCAGCTACAGTAATTATGATGACTACTGCATGAATGCTTTTATTTTTCCAGTATACCTGTTGCCTTCAGCCTTTAATATTTCTGTGTCCTTCTATTTCTGCAGTTTATATTTTATTTGAATATTGTAAATATTTAAGTCTCTTCCATTTAACTAGGGTTTGATCTGTTGTCATTATTTGTGTTTACTGGTATATTTGGTTAATTTTCATGATCATATTTTTCTCACACCATGCTTTTCTCTGTTTACCCTCAGAAAGGAAGATCTTTTCTCATATTACATGTACTACCTAGAGAAAATGCACAATATGACTTATTGGGAAAGGTTATATGCAGAGAAGAATCAAAGTAGAAAGCATTTTCTAATAGATACAGATTTTGGAAGTTAGGCAGACAACATTTCTTTTGTCTGTATCAGAGAGAAACTTTATTTACTGCATTTATTTTCTGAGAGAAGTCTGTAGCGGACTACCTAGAGAATACTGAAAATCCCAACTAGCCCTTCTAGATATTTTCATTTAACACTTAGCAAAGTGTTTGTACAGATTTAGTGATAATATTTCAGGGCAATTACAATTTTCCTCTTAAAATAAGGACGGGTTCTTGAAATTTTTCATTATTAAAGTACTCAGTGTTCATGTTAGGAAGTGCATTGTCCATCGATGATGTATTGCTATATTATATGACTGGAATTACAGAAAACAGTGGTAGCATAAACAGACAAAGCATGTTTAGTTTTTTTATAAAGATTTTACCCTAGTGCTTATCTGTGATGGTTATGCACATTTGTACTTAAACCAATAGACCTTTAGTTTCTATGCATATACTGAAGGTTAAGACAATATTTTTGTTTTAAAATTCTTGATTAATATAGAAAATAATTGGCCTTATTCCCAAAATTTAAGGAAGCACTTGATAAATCTAAATCCACTTTTCCTCCTCACTGCATTAATTTATGTTCAAATCTACCTAAAATGTAGTTTATACAATTGCACCACTGATTAAGCAATAAAATTTGTCTTTCAGTATGAGTATATGGGCTCAGATATGACATTGGCAGCTGAAAAAATAGTTTTCATCTTTCATCTTATGAACACTGTAAGTATTTCATATTTACCTAAGAAACATATTAATAAAGTAATATTATTTATGTAAATGGCAGTTTCACATTTAAAATGTATAGTCTTACCAACAGGTTTTATCATGAATAGATTTATCTTCAAACATAGTAAAATGAATATAATAGGATGAGGTATATAATCCTATGGTGTCATGTTTGTTGTTGAAAATGCTATATATGTATCTTCTGTCTTCAGATGTTTTCTCAGCTTAAAATGAAGATTTTTCTATCTTCTTTGGAGGCCTGGTCAGATCAAAATAAGATTTCAACTGATGGAGATGCTGATGATGTGCTACAAAGATTTTTGTCATGGAAACAAAATGTTTTGTCTCAAAGGTCCTATGATATGGCATATCTATTAATGTAAGCACTTAATTCATATTGACAGATTTCTTGTGTTAACTACCAAAATTATGTACCAATTTTGTTGTGTGTAGTAATAACATAATCTCTTATAAAGTTTGTAAGATTATTGTGTTGGCAAAATACTAAATAAATTTAACAATATAAGATACTAATTAATCACAATAAACTATTCCCTCAAAAAATATTTACTTAGGGAAATTTAATTGAAATCATCATTTTGACATTACCTGAAGTATAAATTAGTTAGTGAAGTGCAAAAATTGTGAACAATACATTATGCAGGTACAAACAATGCAACCTAAAACATTAAAGTAGAAAATGACTGAGATGGATAACTACAACTCTGCTGTTTCTATCATTATCTTCCAGCATTTTTGTACTGATGAATGATGTAGTTATTGAACTATATGCTTTGTCTTTTTAGCAGCCTTTATATAAATTATTTTCTGATTATTTACCCTTTTCATTTGGAAGGCTAAAAGATTAAATGGAGAAATTTGAAGCCTCAGACATGACCTGTAATAATTTTAAGGAAAGCATAGTTTTATTTAGATACTCATTTCAAAAATGATCAAGTTGTTAATAATTTAATATGTGTTTCCTCACAAGAAAAATTGTATTACTTAGTTATAGGGATCATCCTGATTATGTGGGAGCAACATATCACAGAATGGCCTGCAATCCAAAGTTTGCTGCAGGAATTGCCTTGGTAAGCATTTGGTTGCCAAGTCCTCATGTGTAGTAGCACCAATTTTGAACATTGAAATATACGTCATAGAAAAAGTATACATTTTTAGATTTTGAAACTCAAATATTACATGTTTACTTAGGGAAATTTAATTGAAATCATCATTTTGACATTACCTGAAGTATAAATTAGCTAACAAAATGCAAAAATTGCAAACAATACATTATGCAGGTACAAACAATGCAACCTAAAACATTAAAGTAGAAAATGACTGATGGATAACTCAGATGCCCATTTTTGGATTAGGTCTTTAAAGAGTCCTGTGTATATTATTTGTACAAATTTCTTAATAATTTCCAGCAAGTTTTGTACCACTGTTTAATCCTACAAACAGCTCACAATGTTTTGTATTATATTCCCCACATGTACATCAACATTACATTATTTTTTTCATTGTTTATGAGCAACCAGCTTAAAGGTGCCTACAAAATGATGATATTAATCTTATTTTGTCACTGTCATTTGAAGTACAAGTGCTTTTACTCGAGTAACTGCTTCTAATTTTCTTAATAAATTATTTAACTGATAAACTAGTTTTTTAAATTTGTAAATTCATTTTTCTTATAACTTCTATTTTGAAGAGTAAATACAAGAACAAGAAAAGCAAAATCAAAGACAAACAGGGTAACATAGAACAAAAACACATTACAGATTTTCAAAACAAGAATATCTGATCAACAATGACTGATATATTATCTATTTTCATTGTGAAAACTTTTGCTCAGATTAACAGATATAATTATGCAAGTGGGACACGTGGATTGAATATTACCACATGGTTCCAAGGAATCTTAAATTTTTGTTCTTGTCTCTCATTTTCTTTTACTGCCTTTTTTTGAAAAAATTTACTTTAAAAAGTATAATAATAATTGATATGACATTAGAAATGGTACACATTTACAAGACCAAGATGGCACATATTTCAAGTATGGTACACATTGCTGTCCTACATGTAGTTGCTCAGTTCAAAGATATCAAAATATAGAATTTTCACCATGAGAATTCTACCCATTAACTGTTATTTAAAAAAAAAACTGATGGAAATTCTTAGGACTATTGCATTATCAGTCTTGTATATATACATGTATGGTTTTGCCCCTACCTTATTTCCTAACTTTTCTCCTTTTTCTGTCTTTGTTCTTTAATCCTTAAGTTGTGTTTCTTTCCATTTAACTATGTCTGTTATACCTCTCAGTTCTTATTTCTTCTTTTGAGTACTTACACTATGGAGACATACAATAATTACCTTTGTGGGTCTAGTTTATTTTACTTATGAGTATACCTTCAAGTTGCATCCACCTCCCTACAAAGGCTTTAAGTTTGTTTTTCTTTATAGCTGAGTAATACTCCATTGTATAAAAATGCCACATCATTTTCATCCATTCCTCAGGTGAAAGGCAGTTTGATTGTTTCCAAGATTTGGCTATCACTTTTATGACTGTATAGCTAAGCAAATATGAAATTGGGAACTTCTGTTTAAATTAGTTCCCCTACATTCTGTGTGATCACCTCCTCTTGATGTACATGGAGTCTTCCAGGCAGACTAGTTCACCTCGGTTACCTGTTGCCTCCTCTCTCCATCAAGAGAGAAAGAGAAAGGATAGTCTCATAGATCTGAGTCTATCAAAGTATCTCAACTTACCAGGTCCAGACCTACCAAGGTCAAACTTGTCCATGTGGACATGGCTTGATTGTGGCTGCTGTGCTCTGCTTCTTCCTGTTGCAGCCTATTGAAGTGAACCCACTGTGCCCTTTGGCAAAATGTTCTGTTCCTGAATTAGCTCATTGGGTCTTGACCCTAGCCTCTCTGCAGGGAGTTTTCCCACAGGGTTCCACACCAAGCCTGTCTATTGAAAGAGTTTCTTTTGGGAGGGTGGATGGCCCCATACACTGGCTGGGACTGGGCTATGGCTAGAAGTATTCTATAAATTCATTTTTGTAATATGGCCAGAATTGTTTGATGAAATTTATGGTATGAAGGAATAACTGAAGCAACCTTTTTTTTTTTTTAGTACTCAAAGACAATAACTCTAGAGGCATTTTCAGTTGTGTTGGTGCAGTTGCTTGGGATTAACCTGGGATTAACATATGATAACATCTATTACTGTGACTGTCCAGGGAATGCATGCATAATGAATCCTGAAGCAATGTAAGGAATTTTATATTTATTGTAAATGTGTCTTCTCTTGGGAAATGTGGGTAGTATTTGCTGTTAATTATCTTTTGTAATAAAACTTCCATGAGAATATATTAATTACATATTATTCAAGGCTTATTAAAATGTTTGGTAGAGAAATACATTTAATATTTATTTAGTTAGGGTTTTAGCTTTGTTGTTCAGGATGTTGACTTTCTGCTGTTGCAAAGTCATGGTAGAGCTGAAAAAGTTCAGGATCAGAATATGAATTTAGCAAAAAGAAAAATCTTTGCACAGAATAATAGTTTAAACACTGAGAAAAGGAAGTGAAATATGCTAAGGTTAAAAGTACCTTGGCACATGCTTGTAATCCCAGCACTTAGATGCCTTGATGAGGAGGATTGCCACAAGTTTGAGGCCAACCAGGGCTACATAGCAACACTCTGTATCAGAGAGAGAGAGAGAGAGAGAGAGAGAGAGAGAGAGAGAGACAGTAATAGATACTGAAAAGGCTACTACTTTCAGAAAGGAGAATAATGTGGTAGTATATTGAGAAGTGTTGAATCTGAGGTATTCCTGTTCATCCGTGGAGTTGCTCATGCAGTTCATTGCATAATTTCAGATCACAGCAGATAAGAGATCTAACTTGTGTGAGGCATGAGCACATCAATGAGAATAAATGTATAAACAGGTCTTCCAGAAAGATGTTTTCCAGTGAAAACAAGTGCATAATGAGCAAGCTTTGATTGCTCTTCATATATGTAACCTGAATAACTGAGGTAAAATTGTGATATGAAGGAGCAGAAAGGGAAGTAATAGTAGGACATGAGCCAAAATAGAATGACATTCTCCCCCAATTCTCTCACATGATAGAGATAAAATGAGAATAACAGACACAAAATGAATGTATATATCCTAAGTCCTCCCAACTAGAATTTTCCAAGAAATACCACCAATGGGGGGAATTTTCCATAGCCAAAGTCCGACCTTAGAAATAAATAACTGTGCAGGATGAAACCAATGGATCCCTACATCTCATATACTTTGGAATTCATAAATCATTGGCCAGTACACACTACAGAAACTTGTCTCCACAAGCACTGAAACATTAGTAAACTCATGACAGTATAAGACAAAATGAGTGGGGATTCTGCAGGTTGAAAGTGATGGTGAAGGAAGTCTGAACATTTTGTTAGTGTTAGCTCAGCCTTGGCCCTTGTCCTATGAAATCTGATCACAATGAACACACATCTGGTCCAGACTATGGAGTGTTTTTGTGTTGTTTTGTTTTCTGTACCAGGGATCAAATTCATGATCTTAAGATTGCTGGACAGGCACTTATATCCCTGAGCTATCTCCCTGGGCCCAGATTATAGTTTTAAATTCTCTTCTCCAGAAAGAGTTCTCTGGATAAATGTCATATTCTGTGATAAAGGAAAACAAAATACAAATGAGCCTGGAACATCTTACTTCTAAAATAAGGAGCTGCTCAAACAATTATGCCAAAATCCAGTTTATAGGATCTCCTCCAGTCAAAATCTGAGAAAATTTGACTATCAAAAAATGATTATGCTTATAGTCCATTAAATGAAGTAGGAAATTACACATATACATTGGTATAAATACATGAGTGAATAAATTAAATTTAATAGTGTGTTATTTACATAAAGCCAAACTATTCCTTTTCAAATAATTAATAGCTAAAAAAGGATAAAAAGTACCTTTACATTGAAGACTGGCAAACACACTTTAATAAACTTATCAAAGTTTTTGTCAATAACAGAACAAATTGAAATTATATTACAGTCTTTAGGTTGCAATGGATAAACGCAGCAACACTCCTGTGTTGATAGCACCAAGATGTGTAACTTCTGTCTAATCATGAAAAAAATATGTACAGTCTAAAATGAGGGACAGTCTACCAACTGACCTATAATCATAAAACTTTTCAAGTCCATGAAAGCCAATAAAAGAAAAAAAGCTAGAAACATAAGAATTAAATGTATGATTTATTCTGAAATGACCATTTTTGTTACAAAATATGGATATTGTGATATTTGGGGAATTTAGTATGCTTTTTAATATTGGATGTTAATAATGAATCATTGTTTCCTTATTTTGAAGGTTCTATGTGTTGATGCAAGAAAATTCATTTGTATGAGGACTATGTTAAAGTATTCAGCTTTATTTTAAGATCATATTAGTGTCTTACTCTTTAGAGTTTAGGAAACAATTATCCTTTGATTATTTTGAATCATTTTTTAAAAGTTGAGATAGCTAAAAGTTAAGCAAAATTTTATTAAATAGAAATATGAATGAAAAATAAAAAAACATTATAAGAATCTAAAGGTCATAGATGTTATGTCTTACTACTGAATTATTTCATTTAATTTTGTAACCAAAGAACATATAATGAATGTATAAGCATCATTTTTCATTAACAAAATTGATCATCTTTTCATTCTCCAGTTTTCCATATACATTTTCTAGTGTTTTCCATTTTAATGATAAATAAACCTCTTATAGTGATGATTACAATCTTGACATTGACAATAATAATGAAAATAGAAAATAGGGGAACATACTCAGATAGTTAATTGTGCTAAGGACTGAGATGCATTTTAGCATATTCTAGCTCATATTTTAACTTCTACTTTCTATCTATTTAGTATACTAAGAACAGTACAAAAGAATGCATTTCTTTTGCTTCTATCCTTTAATAAAAATAAAAGCACATTCTCTTCCTTCCTTGCTGTCCTCTAACAAGAAAAAAGTTTGGGATTCATAGCATGTACTAAAAATTACTATTTTTAACACTGGCTTGATTTCTTTACCTGAGAAATATAATTGGATTTTAGACATTACAGTGGGATAAAGCTTTTTAGCAGTTGCAGCATGGATGAATTTAAGCAAATAGTTTCAAAATATGAACTTGAATGCCTTCGGAATAAAACAGTTTCAAAAGTGGTTTATGAAGCACAACAATCAACATGTGGCAATGAAATTTTGGAGGAAGCAGAACAATGTGATTGTGGCTTGCCAGAGGTGAGCTCTGCATGTTTTATTTAGAGACATTTTATGTGTTTCTCAGTAGATTTTTAAATATATTGAGCTGATATAAAAGGGAAGAATTTTTTTAAAAATAATATATTTTGTCAACTCTCTAAGAAATTACTGGCATGTGTAATAACTCATGCTGAATTTGAAGAATTTGGCAAATTTATTTATTTATTTATTTATTTTATTTTATTTTATTTTTTTCGGAGCCAGGGATTGAACTGAGGTCTTTGCGCTTACCAGGGAATGGTAAATTTAAATACTGGGAAAATAGTGTAAAACATACCATATCTTTATCATACAACTGTTAGTAGCAGTATCACCTTCTGTACTATAAAAATGAGTAATCAGTATTATTGTTTTGGCTTTTTGAGAAAGGGTCTCACTTTGTAGTAGTGCAGGCTTTCCTTGAACTCATTATGTAACCCAGGCTGGCCTCTTCCCACCTCAACCTTCCAAATTCTAGGATTACAGGTGTGTGCCACCATGTCTGGCTAGTTGTCAGTAATATTGATCCTTAACTGTATCACCTCCAAAATCCCTCTCAATTGACCATATTGGCTCATTAGGTTATTAAACATGTCATTCATATCCTCATCTCTTAGTTTTGTTCCTTAGATCTGTAGAAACTTTGTTTTTACATTGTTCTTGTTACACTAGCAGCAATCATACCCAAGGTCTCATACATGTTCAGCATGCTGTGTATTACCACTACACTCCAGATCTATAACGTCAATCATTTTTCCTTTTTTATAGGGTAAATCCTAATCCTTGGTTATTGTCATAAATGATAATGTTCATAATCTAACAGTATTATAATGTAAAAATATAGCATAATCATCTTTACAATAAGTTCCTCTTAGTCACATCTTATTAAAGTTGTGAATCTCAATTGCTGCTTAGGGAAAGCAAAAATAAACTTTTTATTTATTTATTTATTTTGCATAATTTTATTGAGAAACAAATAGCAATGAGACAGTTTCAAACCAAACTGGCAGGACAATTTCAATAATTAACACATTGCATACAGTCTTCCTAGTGGTTAATTGCTGTACAAGATGCAGACATGATATCCTATTGACAAACACCATTAAAACAAATCCCTCTATTCATTAAGAGAATGTAACTATATATCTATCCTAACCACTTTGAATACACAAATACAAAATGGACATTCATCTGTATACCCCATTTTTTCTAAGTTCTGTTATTGAATATTATAGGTGTGTAAACTCAGCAAAATATTCTAAAAGAGTCCAGTAGCCCATGATAGTATTGGGTCTTCCGCTTGACTGGCAATGTCAGAAACCATTGACCTGAGTCCCCTACAGCTCAACTTAATAGCATGGCTTTACTTCTTATACTTCATTTTTATACTTTTCTGCTGGATGGTTAAGACAAAGGTAAAGCAGGACCTATGCAACAAGAATTGTAGCTTTGGGTCTGATAAGGTCAGTGAAATCCCCTCAGTATTTATCCTGAGATCCTGTACCTCAGATTGCAGAATCTTTGTCAGTGTTTGCAGACCAAAATTAGAGGAAAAAGGAGGGCCACAGGGAAAGCCAACATTTTGGCCCTAGCCTTCCAAGGTCAATTAAGACTCAGGACATATGAGAACTTGTACTGTAACATCATGTAACTCAGTAGTGTCCCAAATTTTCTGATCAAGGAGATTATGGGGCCAAAGAGGAAAGTGATCGATGATGTAGAATGTGCCTAAGGAGAGTCACATGGAGAGAAAATATTCTCTCAGGCTTTCACAGAGAGCACATTGGCCAAGCAATGGCTGTGACTCATCCATATGGGTGAAACTTTTTAATACATTAATAATAATAATATTAATTGTTAAAGTGTAAGCATTGTTATCTTGGTTACATACATCACTAATTTTTTAAATGAAACTGTCACTCTGTGAAACAGAGATAAGTATATTATAAGGAACTAATAATTTTTTGTGCATTTATGTAATAACTTACAGAATTAATCTTAAATATGAAATAGACTTATTTGCAATAAAAATTTCCTTGAGGGTCAGCCAAATATCTCAGTGGATTAAAGTGCCAATAAGCAGGTTCAGGGGCCGAGGGTTTGATCCACAGGCCTGCCGTGCTGGCTCTGCCTCCAGGGCACCCTGAGGCAGTTATTGAAACTGGGCATGGTGGTGAGCACCTGTAATCCCAGCACTTGGAAGACTGTAAACAGGAGAATCATTATGAGCCCAATGTAGTAGTGAGACCCTGAACACCCTGTAGACCCTTCCCTAAAATACAGGGAAAAAAATCCTTGAAATACTATATACAATAAAAAATGCTCTCCTAAGTTAGAAACCCCCATTTGACACATCTATCAAATTTAATTGGCACACTGCTCATAGTAAACTTTTTCTTATGAGAGTACATTCGAAATTAATGATTAAAAGGATAGTAAAGAAAATATGTAAGCCAGTAATATAGTCATTTATATTATCAAGTATTATGCATTGTGCATGATTGTATTTGGTACTTCTATATGCGTGCAGTCAAAGAATTTATTTGCACCATCATTGCAGACACAAAAGTAGTATATTTTACTACAATGTTACAATGGCCACAAGGTCTCCAAGCAATGGAAATTTCTCAGCTCCATTGTAATTTTACGAAGAACCAATCCATGTGTGTTCCTTTGTTGACTGTATCTTTATTATGCAGTGCGTGACTGTATTCCAAAAATTGTATTATGAGGAGTGATAGTATGAAAAATATTTGTGATGCAAAAATTGTTTAATATTTCTGTACATGTATTTATGAAGAAGGAAACAATTTGATTAAATTTTTAGTAGTAAAATTTGTGAACCAGCAAATCATTAATAATTTGATCACTGTCAGAAAAATATTGAAATCAAATAAAGTGATACTAAAAATGTAACAGTAGGTACCAAAGTCAATAATAATACTGTAATTACAGTTAACTTAGAGACATGATTTAGTATATTTTGAAAATGAAATAATTTATATGATGGAAAATTCTTATGTTTAGTATGATTGTGTTCCTTACTAGAGATGCAAATACAAAAAGTGCTGTAACGCTGAAGAATGTACACTAATCGGGACTGCAGAGTGTGGAACTGGGCCATGCTGTAATCCAAACTCGTGCACTGTAAGCTTCCAAAATATTACATTTTATATTTCTGAAAACTTTTTATCACTGTGCCTCTTTTTACAAATGTTTCATATTAAATTTTTTTTTCTTCTTTACTGTCTTTGGCTAATTCATAATAACATATGTATATTTCTTTTACTTCCTTAAATATTCTGTAAGTATCCTTAGAGGATATGCATTGTTCTTCAAGGGTTTACACTTGATCTTAACCAAAAGGCCAAAAAGCAATCTCTACGTGGGAGTAATGATATTTTATCATATTTACATTATTTCATTTATTTTCAAAATAATTGCTCTCTTCAGATGGTAAATTATGTAAACCTAATTCCTACACAGTTGATTTCAGGATTCAAAGGATGTCTGTGGGTCTCTAGCAACCTATTTTTTTTAGCTTTACTTTTCACTGTGTAGCTTCAAGCTATACTTAAACCCATCTTGCATGCAAGATTAATTTCAAGTTATTTGAATGCTATGAATTCTTCTTGGTCTTCTCTGTATGTAACTTTCCATGATACACAATTTATAACAAAATTATAAACCTCCTCATAAATAGTCGTTATGGCTTTTCCCTCTAACAGAGCCCTTGGTTGAACTCTTCCACAAGTTTGTGGTATTGAGCACTGACTTTTCCACACAGTTCATTGCAATCTATTTACCTCTTAAAGAAAAGGTAGTTGTTAAAAATGGCACAATTGGTACATTTAGTAAAATGAAAATTCAGTGACATTGCTAAAGGGAACCTAAGTGATAACAAAGTGCACCATGTTTGTTTGCATTAATTTTATTATGCGTTACAGCACAGATTTTTACTTTTTGCTCTTTTTAAAGACCCTTTAAAGGCATGTTCTCATTTTTACTTGCAATAAACATGGAAAATTCCCTATTGCCTTCTGTCTACTCTCAAAAAAGTGAGTTTCCAGGGACCTGCTGATTAGCTGAGTTGTTTAGGTGCCTGCTCATACAAATGCAGTCAGGCTCAGCATACCGCAAGTCAATCCCCACCTCCACCTGCCTTACCAGACCCACCTTTAAGGCAGCCTGAGCCAGCCAAAAAAAAAAATCATTCTCAAAAAAGTGAGTTTCCACAAAAGTTATATAAAATTGAGAAATTTACCCCACCCCACCCCCTTCTTTCTTTTTTTAATTTTTTTTTTTTACAAATTTTGAGCAGCACAAGTCCAAGGGCCAAGTAATAGTTCAGTTGCTTTGCTAAAACTTAACAGTGATGAGCATGCATCTAACTAGTACTTAGAAACTTTTTTATGTGATTTATGAAGCATTTTAATAGATCCTGCACACTATCTTTTATATATTAAAAAGTTTTACCTGGATTGTAAATGTACCTAGAAAACATAAAAAAGAATGTAACTTCACATTCAAATGAATCTTGTTTCCAACATTAACAGAATTTTCCTTATATTCATTGCATGATATATTTGCATTTTGTTCACCAACCTCAAATTTTCTGCATATATAATATTGATAGGTTACTAGAACTCCTTGCTTTTCCAGTTTATGGTGTATAATATTTCAGAAGAGTAAGATATCTTCTATTTCCCAGCATCCATCTCATTGCTTGGTAGTGGAAGAAAGCCTAGTTGAACTTGAAAAGATTAATTACCCTTCACTGCACTCAGCACTATACCTACAATGAAATTTTTTTAATGGTTATCCAGAAATGGAAGCAGAATGATAAAATGGATGTACCCTTAATGGTGGCCATGGAGCAAGTTCTGATAGAGAATCATTTACAATGAAAAATGTAAAAGATGTTCATTGAGCATTTTAATGTCATTAAGCATAAATATCTGCTATTTATCTTAAAGAGAATATTTATGATGATCAAGCATTTTAACTCTGATAATTTTTCCCACTGTTTATTTAAATTCATATGTCATTTTAAAGTGAACAGTCCAGTATGGCAGTTAGTACACTCACAATGTTGCATAAACACAAGTTCTAAGTAGTTGCAAAATACATTTAACACTTCAAAAGGAAGCCTTGCTCATTAAGCAGTTATTCACCCAGTCTCTTCATGTGTCCCTGGCAACCATCAGTCTGCGTTTATCTCTGTGAATATACCTATTCTGTTTTGTTTTGTTTTGTTTTGTTTTGTTTTTGTTTGTTTGTTTTGTGGAACCGGGGATTGAACTCAGGCCCTTGTGCTTGCCAGGGAGGCATTTATTCCACTGAGCCATCTCCCCAGCCCAATATACCTATTCTGGATATATCCTATATGTGAATTCCTATAAAATGTGACCTTCTGTGATTGACTTTAATTTAACATAGATATTTTAAGGTTCATCCAACTTGTAGCATATATATAATATGACATTTATAATTGAAAATATTTCATTCTATTTATATTTGTAACTTATAGATTAACCATTTATCTATGGGTGGATATGTGGATTGTTCCTAATCTATTTTGCCAGAGTTTTTTGTAAATTCATAATTTTAGTTAATGACTATAAGAATGATGAGTAGAAGTACAATGTTCTTTTGGAAAAATGTTATTTTTCGTTAAGCCTTTAATTTTTTTTCTTTCACAGTTTCTGGAAAGAGGAACTTTATGTAGAAACAGCATGGACCCTTGTGATTTTCTTGAATTTTGCAATGGAACATCTGAGCTTTGTCCAAGAGATACAAGAGCTGATGACTTTGAACCATGTAGTAATCACACGGCATACTGCTATAGAGGAAGATGCAGAGATACAGATCTTCTCTGCATGGAAATACATGGAAAATGTAGTAATTGTATTTTTCTCCATTTCTTTTTTATTATTATTCAGGATTAAACTGAGGGATTTTGTACTGAACTATATCCTAAACTATTTTTCCACTATATTTCTTTTAGATAAAGCATCACTAACTCTTTATGATGTCCTGGGTGGGCTCATATTTGTGATTTCCCCCACTTCAACTTCTCAGAAAGCTAGGATTATAGGCATGTGCCACTACATCCACCTTTGTGGAGTTCATTATATACTATAGCTATTGTAATGTCAGTAATTTACACCATACTCATTTTAAAGTTCTTTTTATAAATCCAAATTTGGAAATAATGTGACAAATCAAAGCAACTTTGAATGACATGAAGAAGTAAAATAGAACTAATAACTATAGGATGTTAATTAAATATCAGATGATTGATGGAGAGAGTGGGAAATACTAGAATAAAAAAAAGACTGATTTCTTAATTGCTTCTGCACAAAGGTACCAATTTTACTATTTTCAAATGGATAATTTCTAGTACTTCTTCACACATAGCCATTAGATGGGAGCAAAAACTGTGTAGCATATAATAACTGAGTGAGCATTATTGTTTCAATACTGTATTATAATTTACCACACTATGAATTCATAATTATTTTTAACAGATGACTGACTTGAATCTCTTTATTTATATTTACAGTTGCTCAGGGAGGTACAGATCTGTGTACAATGGAAATAAATTTTCAAAATGATGACTTTGGAAACTGTCGTGGAAAAAAATGTAGTTTTTAGTATGTACTTATAAAAGTCTATATCTTCTAAGTGCATGTGTTTGTGTGTATATGAGTGTGTATATTGCATGTCACTTAATAAAACTAAGAGCTGTACCAATACAGATAAATTTATATTTTATATTTTGTCAGAAGTTGTATGTCCTAAATAACTTTGGTGATAAGATCTAAGAAACATATTGATACACCTTAATAGCTTGAACTGTTATTTACCTACCACACACATTACATCCTTAAAAAATGAATAGGTCTCAGGACATATGAGAACCTGTACTGTAATGTCATGTAACTCAGTAGTGTCCCAAATTTTCTGATCAAGGAGATTTTGGGGCCAAAGAGGAAAGTGATAGATGATGTAGAGTGTGCCCAAAGAGAGTCACTTGGAGAGAAAACATTTTCTCAAGCTTTCACAGAGAACACATTGGCCAAGCAATGGCCGTGACTCATCCACATGGCTGACACTGACAAAGGCTCTACAATCTGAGGTACAGGATCTCAGGATAAATCCTGAGGGGTTTTCACTGACCTTATCAGACCCAAAAGCTACAGCTCTTGTTGCGTAGGTCCTGCTTTACCTTGGTCTTAACCATCCAGCAGAAAAGTATAAAAACGAAATATAAGAAGTAAAGCCATGCTGTTATGTTGAGCTGTAGGGGACTCAGGTCAACAATTTCTGACATTGCCAGTGAAGTGGAAGACCCAATACTATTATGGGCTACTGGACTCTTAGAATATTTTACTGAGTTTACACACATATAATATTCAAATAACGGAACTTAACAAAAAAAGGGGATACAGATGAATGTCCATTTTGTATCTGTGTGTTCAAAGTGGTTAGGATAGATATATAGTTACAGTCTCTTAATGAATAGAGGGATTTGTTCTAATGGTGTTTGTAAATAGGATATCATGTCCACATCTTGTACAGCAATTAACCACTAGGAAGAATGTATACAATGTGTGAATTATTGAAACTGTCCTACCAATTTGATTTGAAATTGTCTCATTGCTATTTGTTTCTCAATAAAATGATGGGAAAAATAACAAATAGGTGATTGTTTGTTTGTTTTTTGTCTGTATTGTCAGTCATGTTATCTGTGGAAAGGTAATATGTGAATGGAAAAATACAGAAGTGATAAGGACCTCAACGCACATCTATAATCTTCAGTACACATACCTTGCAGGCCATGTATGTGTGTCTGCTCAGTTTAGAATACCAGCACCTCCTGGAGCAGTTGATAAAAGTCAAGCACCTGATGGTCTTAAGTGTGATGATTCTCGGGTAAATATAAATTTTAATTGAAACTATATACAATGGGAGTGTGTGAGCGATACTTCTTTATATATGATTAGTTCTACAAATTGGTTACTGCATGATCACATATTACAAAATATTTGTTGACTTAAAACAGTTATAATATGAATTAGAAAGAACAAAATCAAGGTGTATAAAATGCCAACCATCTGTTGGTCAGATAGAGTATATCTGAAAGGAATATAATATTTTGATCAAAAATGACATTTTTAAATATGACATGGAAGAATATTATCAATATTATGGTAAATAAAATAATAAAACCTGCACTGCAACCTAGATTGCATCAATACATGAGACTTCTGTGGCCTGTAGTTTGTATTAAAGCATAGCTCATGTTGGCCACATATTGTCTTGCTGGATCAATTCCAGCCTACAGCAACTTCGTGCCTGTATGTCTTAAATCATTTTAGCTTTTCAAAAGCTAACAAACAAATAAAACATTTTACAAAAGCCTTAATATGAAGACACTTTGGCATCAGTAGCGTTTAAAAGGTTTTCATCCTAGCAAGACCTAATGAAAGATATCCAAGATAACCTCCAAACTTACAACTACAGTGCTTGAAGAAGACTTTACATACATAGAAGTGCTGGGGAGGCTGAAAACAGGAGGATCACTATGAGTCTAAGCTGCATAGTGAGAACCTGTACCAAATACATAAAAAAGACAATACTGTATTCACACAAGGATAAATTGTCCTGCACACTAAAATGGAAAATATTACATACATAGAAGGCTTAATCATCTTCATGAATTGAAATACTCAGTATTACTAGGTTCATGTTTTGAAAATCAATAAACATGGTCCAACCAAAGTTACAGTCCCATCAGGTTTATTGTTCTTGGGTGTGAGTGGGGGGAGAGGGTTTGCTAAAACTGATTTAAAAGTTTAAATGAATCATCAAAACACTAAAATTACAAAGTGTTCTTTTCTTTTTCTTTTTTTTTTTTTTTTTTTTCTATGGATTGAACTCAGGACTCTACACTTGCCAGGCAGGCACTTATTTTACTGAGCTATCTCTCCACCCCAGAATTTTAAAGTTGAAAATAGAGGCTGAAATTTACATTGCTGAATGTCAAGAATTATGGAAAAGTTAAACTAATTAAGACTGTAGTGAACTGGCTAGATAGCTCAGCAGACTTAAATGCCTGCTTAGGCAAGCTCAGGGACTGGAGTTCAATTCCCTGAACCACATGCTGCACTGTGCCTTCCCCCACCCACTGGGCACACTGAGTTGGCCACTAAGACCTGGTGTGGTAGTGGATGCCTTTAATCCCAGTGCTGGGGAGGCTGAAAACAAAAGGATCACGATGAGTCCAAGCTGTGTAGTGAGATCCTGTACCAAATACATTAAAAAAAGACTACTGTATTCACACAAGGATAAATTGTCCTGCATACTAAAATGGAAAATATTACTTCAGAAGAGAACCATAAAAATATTTTAATTGCCCTCAAAGATAAAGACAAAGAACAAGTTACTGTAACAGTGTTCATTAAAAGTGAGCAGTGTGTGGAGACTCAAGGGTCCAGAAAGAAAGATGGATGACACAAATTGTCCCTGTTTCATCAATACAGTCTAGTTAAAAAAAGAAGAAAAAAGTACCTGGACAATATATGTAGAATCTGAAAATTCAAAAGAGTGCAGACAAAGACCACTTAAAATCTCAAAATGTAAGAAACAATTCAACAGGGTTCTCTCTCATGGTCTGTGCTCCCTATTTTCCCCAACTGGATTTTAACGAAGTCAGCAACTGTGCAACGCAAAGTGTCACAGAGAGAAAGAAGTCTTTGAGGAACACTTACATTTTATAGCCAAGGAGCACAATTTTGCATTTTAAAAAGTGAGCTAATTAAGGCCAGAGAGATAGCTCAGTGGACTAAGCACCTGCTTAGGTAAGCTCAGGGACTGAGGTTTGATCCCCAGTCTCATATGCCACACCGACCCTGCACCGGGGCACTCTAAGCCTGCAATGGAGTCTGGGCGTGGTGGCGCACACCTATAATCCAGCTGCTAGAGAGTCTGAAAACAGGAGGATCACTACAAGTCTGAACTGCATAGTGAGACTCTGTACCAAAAAAAAAAAAAAATTAAAAAATGAGCTTTTTTAGTGAAAGCACACACAAAATGCCCCCAGCTCCTTTCTTGCATGGCTTTGTGAGCAAAGAACAAGTAGACAGCCTATGCTCCCAGGACCCAAGACAGAGAGAGTAGTCACTCCCACCCCAGGTGTTCAATGACCCTGCAGCTCCACACATCTAGTGCAGTATCAATTCCATCCTGCCAGAATTGGAACACATGCTGCATGTTAAAATGCATGGAACAAGATTTAGAGTCTCATATCCAGTTATCTTAGTTATATTAAACAAAAGTCATTCTTCAGAACAAGCACCAGGGACATCTTAATTTCAGTGAGGAGAGATGAGAAACACACCAGTATCATCAAGACAGAAGTGTTAGAATTATCCTAAAATGGTAAAGCAGCCATCATGAGCATATTTCTGTGAGCAACTGCAAACACATTTGAAATAATGACATAAAGTTTCAGCAACAAAAGAGAAGATATAAAGATGAACCAATCAAAACTTGGAACTGAAAAATAAACTCAAAATATGGATGTGAATGGCTAAGAACTTAATGAAAGTGATGGATAAAAATCAGGAAAGAAAAAACAAAGATCTAGTTTTAACAAGGAGACACAAGAACAAACTAAACCAACAGAGATTCAATGGCACATGGAAATACACGAAATGGTATAACTCTCATTCTTGTCACTTCTTCTGGAAGAATAGGAATAAGTTTAAGGACAAGAATTCTTTTGTGGAATAATGGCTGCCAATTGTCCAACTTGTCACAAAGAGTGAACCTAGATGAAGCTTATCTAGAAAATATTCAGGGAAATTTACAGTGTGATACAGCACAACACTGTGCTGTATTTTCTGAAAATTAAAGTAGTGCCTTAAGAGTCACATGACATCTTTGTACAGGAGAAAGACAGTTGAGTTGATTGAAGTAAACCAGCTAGAAACTAGACATGCTTATGCCACAGAAGATCATGAGGAGAGTTAGTGACCACCCACACATGGGACACAGAAATCCATGAGATTTCCTCTAGCAAAAGCATGTGTGCATTGGAAGGCATTTTGTTTGTCACACCAGCAACAGGTGATCTCTGAAAGGTTCACAGATGTCTCTGATCCTACCAGTGATTTTCTGGCTTGGTAAGATTGAACCTTAGCACATAGCCAGCTTGTTGAGGTTGCTTCAGAGGGAGGAGGTATCAGGGGCAGCAGAGGGAGAAACAGAAACATATAAACAGTGACAGAGACAGACAGAGAAAAGGGGAAAAGGATGAAAAAAAAGGGACAGAAGTAAATGAATGTTAAGGAAAGATATTCATAGTCTCATTTTCAAAATTTGTTCCACTTAAGAATTATAGTTTATGTAATATTCATTGCATTTAAAGGTCTGTGATGCCTTTGAAATATGACTCAGGTAACTTAACTGACTTTTTCTGATAGAGCCATTAGATGTTTTGGGTTAACATGCTTTTACACTTACATCACTTTAAAAAGATGTACCTAAATCTAATCATAGCCTGTGTGACAGTTTTCTCAAGTGACAGTCTTCATTTGAAAGCTAGCCAGCTTTAGGCTGTGATACAGCCAGGGCTTTCACTGAATAATGCTTAACCTAAATGATAGCAATTTGAATTCTGTAATCCCCATTGCTTCTGTCACTCTAGGAAACAAAACATGCTTGTTATGGCTTGGGTCTAGATGTCCCTCCAAAGCTACATGCAGTCATGGGGCTGCTTTTCAGAGGTGGCTGGATCTAGAGTAGTCCTGGAATCAAGGATGTGTGATCACTAAATCAATACACTGATAGTTAAGAATGTAAGTTCTAAACCCATCCTTGGGTGGGTAACCTGCACCAATTATAAGGTAGAGAACAAGAGCTAATGTGGGCTTGCTGCTTCCTTGCTAGACTATCTTTCCTCTGATATGCCCCTCTGCCATGACATCCTTCCCTGGAGCCAGCTAACTGTGGACTCAAAAGCTCTACAAGGGCCGGGGAGATGGCTCAGTAGAATAAGTGCTTCCCTGGCAAGGGCAAGGGCCTGAGTTCAATCCCCAGTACAGCCAAAAAATAAATAAATAAATAAATAAATAAAGGAATCCTAGAAAAGCTCTACAAACCATGAGCCAAATAAATCTCTCCTTTGAGTGTTTAGTATTTTGTCTCAGCAATAAAAAAAGTAACTACAATATCCCTTATGAGCATTTTCCCTTGGTATAACAAGTGCTGTGTTGGCTGCATCCTGTGACTGAGAGGAACAGGAACATGGATGCTGTTGTAGAACTAAACTAGTTCTATGGTTTAGTGGGCAGATTTCCCATTGCAGAGCTACTTGTTACCAGCCCTTTCCATTCTTTCTGCTCTGCCCTTCTCATGGTGCTGAGATGCTCCTCTTCCAGAGTTCTGTCCAGCTGGTCACTGTATTCCATACAGTGGCTTGCTTATATCCTCTGCCCATGTTATTGCTTTGCAAATGCTCAGAAGTCCATAAACCCCATTTAAATTGACTCATTTTTTTTTCTTTGTAGTGGGAATCAAACTCATGACCTCACACTCAGTAGGCAAGCCCTGGGTCACTGAGCTATACTCCTAGCCCACATTGACTCATCTTGAGTCTCCTAAATTATCATGATATAATAGAAAGGGAGGGCTCTGTGTGTACCAAGTGTATCAGTTTGAACTGGGATTCTTGTGGCTATTTTCAAGATAAGATTGGGCATGTTTGGGGTGGTATGGCTGTAGATGTGACCCTTTTTACAATTCATCAAATCTGCTTTTTCCTCTTTTATTATATGCATTGCTCTGTTGATTTTAGAGAAATAGGAAAATACAGCCTTCCTTGAGTCACCCTCATTAAATGTGGGACTTTCTAAAAATTGTATTTAACAATATCCCCATCTACATCACCAATGCCTGAGTAAATATATGATAGATAAGATACATCTAATTTCTTATTCAACAGCTATGTATCTCTTTGCAATTAAAATAAAAAAATTTAATACTGTTAATCACTCAGAAATTTAATATAGCATAACATTATACTTCTACATGGAGATAGATATTAATCCATATAGCAACTATGCTTATATTACTTCTCTATATTTGTTATTTCTAAATTGTTAGAGGGTATAATCATGCCTCAACACAATCATTTTATAATTGAAATAAAATAAGTTTGAGACACCTAAGCTAATAAGTATATATAAATGTAT